GGGGAGCGATAAATAAATCTCGAAAATCGAACCCGGAAGGTTAATTATAATCCTGAAGATTAGGCACTGTTGGCCAGTGTTGTACTCTTTTTCCCTTGACTAAGTTTTTTTCCTATTGGGTTTTACTTAGTGAGGTTTTTAACGAGGCAACATGTGTAACACATAAATTTACATATGTTATGTACTCTTTTCCTCGACTGCTTTTTCCTACAGGGTTTTGCAGCGAGGTTTTTAACGAAGCACAGACATAATGCGGTAATGCCCAAGGGGGAGTGTTGTAAATATTAATTTGTGGACATTACCTAGATATAGAATTTGTAGGTATGGGCCAGGAGCCCATTAGATCTTTACTCATGTACATTGTATTTCCTATATATATATGGCTTAAGTGAATGAATAAGATGATGGTTTTACGCCGTATCTCTTCTCTATTCTTCTACTGCTTTCTCTCTCTTTGTCTATCTATCTTACGCTCTTCTATATTGACAATCTGTATTACAACATTGCGCTTATTATGATGACTTTTTGAATATGATTATCCCACAAATTATGAACATCTAATATGAGATATTTCGTACATTTTGTTTACAGTTTTCATATCATACCACCTATATAACTTGTAAGGAACAACAGTTTCCACTGGGCCTTCACCCTTACAAAGTCATTTACAAGATACCTATTTTGGGCCTCCCAAATTTGAAAAAGGGCCCAACAAGCAACCGTAGGTTAGTGGCTCGGCCCGGTCAATTTCCCGTTTAAGGCTTTGTTCCCTTTGAGTCAGTTACAAATAATCCTCATTTTTTGAAATCAACTTAAACATAATAATAAAGTAGTTAGTACATTATAATATTATTGGTCAAATATAATCACCTGCAGGTTAATTGTACTTTATAGGGCCCCTAAATTAATTTGTCTTTTCTCGCCCTATGAAACACATTTTTTAAGACACGCTTCCATCAGCTCACAAATACATTGTTTTATTTATTTGTTAAGTATATCACCATATAATTATCAAAAGTATTTCTAATTTATATCATAGACTTATTAAAACTCAGAGTTTAGCTTGATTAGTTAAGATTTATTAAGCTTGAGAATAAAGTTATTATAACTTATATATTATAATATATTTGTATGCATATAATATTAAAATTATAAGTTAAATAATAGTATTATATTTCAAACATGTAATATTATAAGTTATATTTATGCATATGATATTAAAATTATAAAGGATAATAGTATTATATTTTAAAATTTGATCATTAGTTAAAATAAATAGTACATACGATTTGATTGCATACGAATCACTATATTGAATGCATAAAATGTAATAAATATATAATTTTTGTAATATTTAGTGATCATCACCAATTAATTAGTTGAAAAATATTATATTTATTATAACAATTGTTTATGTGATTTTAAGACATTTTACTATGACACGGAAAAAAACAAAAATTTGAAAAATAATCGCTTAATCATATATAAGAATATAATATTAATTTTAGTGTAGAATATAATTTTATGTAACTTTCATATATCATTTAGTGTAAAATATAATTATTAATTTTAGTATTAGCTATTATATGATTCCATAAAAAACATAATTATTAAATGATAAAGTTTGTAACGGTTTTTGGAGGAAAATCGAAATGAGGTTTTATTAAATATTTTATTAAATGTTATTAGCCAACAATTATATATATAGATTTCCTATTATTCAACTTTTATATGTAATATAATTTCTAATCTTCTTACATAATTTTAGTCATTTATGTTTGGTCACCCACTTAACCTATATATTTTATTTTATTTTAAATTCTTGGTTTCAAGTCATTATTCTCAAATTTAATCCAACTGATTTAATTTAATAAAAATAATAATTTGTTACTTTCAAATTTTTATTTTATGTTATGAAAAGGTTTAAATGAATTGTACATTAATTTTACATTACAAACAAAATACAAACTCAATTAAATGATAAATAAGAAAAATCTCTAGTTATCTCTTCCAATGGATAATGTGACATAGATTGTAACAAAAAAAAAAACATATATAATTAACAAATCAACTTTTTTTTCCTCATTGTCTAACACAATTGTTGCACATATTTAACAAAAAACAAAAATAAAGTAATCAACTGAAAACTTAATTTACTTTTCATTAATAAAGTAATTATATTTTTATTTATTTATTTAATAATAGCCACTAATAACTAATCATAAAGTCACATTAAATGATATTCTATTAAAAAAACATCTGAAGCTATTTATTTAAACTATCATTTCTTTTTTGGTTTGTTAAACATTTTTTTTATTCAAAATTAGTTAATTATTTTTTATGGTATAACGAAACTCTTAAAATTTCGTACACAATTGCTATAATAATAATTTGAATATAACTTTATCCAATTAGTTGTTAAAATCAACCAAGGTTGCAAAAATTATATATACGCTCAATATAAAGATAAATATATAAGTTAAATAATTTATATATATCATTAATATTTACTAATGTTAAAAAATAAAAAATGTGATATACTTATTATTTAATTTATAATTTTAACTATTACATACGCAAATGTATAATATATAAAATTTTAATAGAATTTGTGCATGTGCTCGTGATTGAATACTAGTCTAATTTAATCTCGAAGTTATTCATTTAACTAGTCAAACTTTTGACAAAGCTAATTTTGATATTCACTTTTGGGCCCCTTTGTGTTGCCTTTGTCTCATACAGTTCCAAGCGGACCAAGCCAAACCTAGTACACAGCACGGGCAAGCAAGTGCAGTGGGCATTAAAAGCCCATTCTCCAAAAAAAAAAATGAAGCGTAATAAATCCCACGCCCCAGAGATGGATATCGCATTAACCTGGGAATTCTCAAAAGATCGGACAAACAAACCTCATCCCATCCCAATATCCAAATATCTGTCTACAATAAATATTACTCCTATTATCAAACAATTTCATTTCATACTATTTAATGGTTAGATGGATTTTTTTTTTTTTTTTTAAACAAA